GAAGCAAATGATACCAAGACCAGCTCGCAACAGAAATCTAATAACCAGATGTGAACGGACGAAAATACAGGTACGAATGAATCTCTTCTACCCTGTCGGGTCTACATCTAAATTATCGTGTCATGATTACCAATATTCAGAATGTCACAAAGACTGAGCAACCACATTTTCAATAAGCCTTAACTATTTTTTTTCTTTTAATATGTCGGGATGTCTACAATAGTCTAAGTTTTGGGGGTATAAAGATGGGGAACTATGCCCCTCTGCTTCAGAGGAAGGAACTGTGACCCAAATGCCCATTTGCATATCCTTGACAGACACCAGTAGCATGCATAGTGGAACAGCCATCCCAAGGAAAAGTCACCTTCTCTACCTGTATCGGTAAACTCTACTCAGAAATTTCCCTCCATCTCTTTGTCTTCTGAAAACAAGGCTTCACCTGTCAGTCTTTCAAATGGGGACCATCTTGTCATCCAAGTGGCTCCAAGTGTGACAGTGGGGTCAGTGTCCTCTTCATGGCCACTTTCAGGTTACTGTCCCTTCATTTTCTAGTTAGACCTTTATGTTTTGAAGTTTGTGCTCCGTTCCTTGTGGTAATCCTTTTTATTTTTTAACTGTCAGTGCTAATGCACAAGTCTCTTTATTTTAAATATCAGTCAAAATAGTTCAATATCCATTTTAATTCAGAGACAATTAGATACAGATGTAAAAATAATGAGTCAATATCTTGTTAATATTTTCAGTTACTTTTTTCAATATTTCTTCTTTGTTTTTCTTCTTGGTCTAGACTAGTCTGTTTTAAGCTCAGAGAAGCATCTCAAAGTCCAGGATTTAAGTCAAATACCTTCTTGAGATCTTCCAAAGCATCATCAAAATATCCCAGCCTGTACAATATCAGCCCTCTGTTGTAATATGGAACTTCAAAACTGGGTTGGACTGCTATAGCAGATGTGTAGTCATCCATGGCTTTGTAAAAATCCACCCTGAAGTACTTAACTTACCTCCTGTTGTTATATGCGGTAGCCAAATCCTCAGGGCTGCCTTTGGTCCTAGGCTTCGCCCTGGCCAATGAAAGCAGAGTACAACGCCTTGGCCTCGTGTACTCGCCCTTCTTGAAATGAGGCTGAGCGAGCGCTAGGCTCCTGTGACTGATCTTCCATAGTTTGGTTGAAGGCCTAGCTTTCACTGTGAAATGGGGACAACCCCTGAGGGATTAGAGGCGCCAGGAAGCCACCTCTGGAACCCTCCTTGTGGTAATCTTTTTCTGAACTCTCAGTCACTCCTATCCCTCTTCCCTTCCTTTCCTTCTCTCTCTTTCTCTCTCTCTCTCTCTCTCTTTAATTTTGTTAGAGGGTGTATGTGCTTACGAGAGAGAGAGAGAGAAAATGAAAGAGTACTCCCCATAGTGGATAATCATGCTGCAATTTCTTCTCTTCCACCTCTTTCTCCTTTTGGGATTTTGGGCATGCATGCATAGATGCCCAGTGTGTTTTTCGAGATGCCTGGTCCAGGACTCAAACCTTGCAGGCAGCCATGTGGGGTCTAGTTACACTTTAACCACCATATCACTGACCAGCCTTTTTAATCTTTTTTTTTTTTTAATTTGCCAGAGGTCACATGTACTCATCAGAGAGAGAGAGAGAGACAGAGAGACACAAAGGGAAAGGGAGATAAGGAATGTCCCCTTGATTGGCCATGGTCACACCAAAATCCTTTCTCCTTGTTTGTCCATCCTGTCACGCACACGTACACACATGGACCTGGAGAGTTTCTCAAGCTGCTGAGTGTAGGAGTTGAACTATGTGGTTGGCCATGTGGCGTCTGGCTCCCTTAACCTTGCGTGATCTTAGCCAAAAGGCCAACAAGTGATGACTCCCTTTACCACCAGGCCACATGGCTGGCCCAGTCACTCTTCCAATGATTTTGTTACTAGGTTCCTCACTGCCTGTTCACACCAATTCTACCCAGCAACTTAGAACTTCAATGTTTACATCAACAAACTATTTACCACCTTAGTGAATTATTCACTTGTCTCATCCATCTATTGCCAGGCTGTGGACCTTATCAATACTCGAAACTACTCCATCAGTCAGACAGTACAAACATCCAGCATCTTATTCAAAATTCCCCTTCCTTTCAGTCTGCTTTGTTAGATATTCCACTGCTACTGTTCTTCTACTACGTGGGCCTAGCTGACTTCTCCTTCTGTCTCCCCATCCGTTGATAAATCCATTCACTTAGTCATTTACCGATCATCCTTTTCCACCTCCTAGTTTCTTCCTGTTACTGACAGATTCTAAGAGCCATCATTTCAATTATTCTCCAGCACATCCTCAGGCAAATTCCAACCCAGGATAAACCTGCCTATCTTCTCCATGTCTACACTCAGGCTGCTGAGAGCGGGTAGAGAAAACTACAATAGAGCAGATCATGTGGTCTACAAAGTAATCGTCAATGGCCTCAATTAGGCTCTCTAAATTCCTACACCCATTCTATTCTTCTCGAATCTCTCATTCTAAGCTGATAACCTTGCTTTTCATTTCACTAGAAAAATAGAAGCTATTAGATAGCTTATCATTTTACCTCTTCTAAAAAAGGTCAATTATTGGACCAGCAGATGATGTAATGGTTAAGTCGCTGGACTCCCAGGTAGTTGATTGAGATTTAAGTCCTAGACCCTGTGGCTTAAACTCTTGCAAGGTGTATGTGCATGCATGCCCAGGATCTGGAGAGGAGAATGGAGGAGAAGGGATTGTGGTGTGGCCATTCCTCCTGGGGGGTGTGATTTCTTAATTTCTGTCTTTCTTTCTGGTGAATGCACATGCCCTGCAGCAAAAATCTCTCTCTCCCTTAAAAAAAAAAAAAAAAGTCAACGATTCTACTTGTATTCTACCTCCTTATTTTTTCCTTAAGAATATTCATGATTTACTCTTTCTTATTTTGTCTTTTTCTCTTTACTAGGCCCTTCTCATCAACACTTATGCATGTTCTCATCTGTTTCATTACAGCAAATCAATAAACCCACAAGTGCACCCCCGCCTCTGAAACCATCCACATCCTTCCCTAGCGACCACCCCTCTCCTTCCTCCATTCTCAAACGTGTGGCCTGAATGTCACTCTCCAAATCTTCAGTCCCTTTGCTCTCCACCAATGCTGGAATCTGACTTCTATTTCAGCCACTCTAAGGGAATCTAGAGCTAAATTCACTCATTATGTCCTAGCACTCAATCAAATGTACTCTTATAGTCCTCACATCACTCTTTCTCTCAGAATCATTCTACAGTGTTGACTATTTCCTCTTTTGAAACACGCTTTCTTTTTAGCACTTGTAATACTACTAGCTCCTAGTTTTCCTCCTACCTCTCTAACTCTTTTCTTTATCCTTTTACAAGCACTCCTTCCCCACCTAGCCTGTGAGCAGAGTGCTCTCAGGTTCAACCATAGCCTCTTCTTATTCTACATTCTCCCACCAAGACAATTCCATTCACCCTTGGACTTCAACTATCCCCAGTAACTTCAAATTCTGTCTCTTGGTCTGTTGTCATAGTGTCAGGGACTAAACATTGTGTTTGGCTCCTCAGAAATGCTCAGCAACTGCTTTTTCAAATGGATGAATGATTTCAATATACTATGGTAAAAACGAAGATGGAGACTCATAGACTTCAACATAGTAAAAAGATCTGTGACATTTCATCTGAGCAGGAAGTCCAGCAGTACACCTGTTAGTGGGCGACTCAGATGATGATCCTGGACACAAAATGTGGCAAAAGAGGTGGCTAAGAATCCAGTGCTTACTCCAGCCTGTACCTCTGGCCTAACCTCTTTGTTTCCCCAAGACTGGCACTCTTGGCGAGGCTAAGGGCAGCTTAGTAACCATGATCCTCCACTAGTGGTGGACGGAGTGATAAATCAGCCCATCAGGTAATTTGAGTTCTTTTCTTTCCTTTTTAGAAAGAATAATTTAATTTTATTCATTGTCTTTCTTTCTTTCTCCTTCCTTCCTTCCTTCCTTCCTTCCTTCCTTCTTTCTTTCTTTCTTTTTTCTTTGTTTCTTCTTTCTTTCTTTCTTTCTTTCTTTCTTTCTTTCTTTCTTTCTTTCTTTCTTTTCTTTCTTTCTCTCTTTCTTTATTCTTTCTTTGTCTTTCTTTCTTCTCTCTCTCTTTCTTTCTTTCTTCCTTTCTTTCTTAAAGTTCACCAGAGAGAGAGACAGAGAGAGAGATGGAAAGTGAGAAAGCAAGCTGCCAGGTCTGGTACTCGAACTGCAGTCAGCCATATGGGAATCCAGCCACCTTAACCACACCATTGGGTTCTGCCAACCCCATTGAGTTCTCTTCTTAAGTCTTCTGCTTTAGCAATAGACCAAATTAGCATTTAGGTATTGCTATTAAATAGCATAATCTGAAAGACTGGCTGTCCTCCTCATCATTCACAAAGGAATCGTGAGAGAGATTTGTTTAATTTACATATGGGTATATTCAGAATTTCATCATTTTGATAGGGAAAAACATTTAATCCTTATTTCTTATACCACAAATGCCAGATTAAGCAAAGCAAATAATGAATTATAAAGCCTAGAATATCTTAGAATAATGATTTCTATGGAAAGACCATTTTATGTTAAAACCTTCATTCTTAAAATACCCTGACTGTGTATCTGATTAAAGCGGCCTGAATCCTATGAAACAACGCAGGGAAAAGAAGCATCTGCTGATGGTTAAAACACTACCATCCAGTCAGGGTAAATAGTCCTCCACTGTGGCATGGCAGAACCCTGAGGACTCATACAAAAATCCTGCCTTCTGGGACCAGCAGATGGCATAATGGCTGTGTCGCTAGACTCCCATGTAGTTGACTGTGGTTCGAGTCCCAGACTCGGTAGCTTAAACTCACGCCAGGCATGTGTGCATATGTGCCCAAGATCCCGAGAGGAGAATGGAGGAGAAGGGATTGCGGTGTGGCCATCCCCCTCTTGGGGGTGATTTCTTGCTTTCTGTCTCTCTGTCTCTGTCTTTCTGGCGAGTGCATGTGCCCTGTAGCAAAAACCTTTAAAAAAAAAAATACTTGAATGGA